TCCTCAATGCAATTGCCACCAGGATCTTGTTGTGGTTTTGGACCCTACTGTCTCTAATGCCACATTAATAATTTCAACTGCAAATTTGAAATGGGCAGCAACGTGTGAGAGGCACTTAATTGTGTGTTCACGAGCAATTACAAACAACAGCTTCATGGATGAATTTCGGAGCAGTTGTTGCATCGCTGGATAGTTTTTCCTGCTTTGCTGGACATTTATTTTCACACCCTTTTAGGAGGCCTTTACATTTAGGAGACAATATTATAAAGAAATAGGCATTTGTTTAAGAATATGATACTTGAATTAGTTTGCTGTCAAAGTAGGAGACAGATACACCTGCATCAACCTGTGTCAATAAAAACCACTGCAAACTCTTCGACTTAAGGGTTAGGGTCATCCAGATTATTTTAAGTTTAGTGGTAAAGTGTTTTGAATGTGTAGCTGGCACAAACTAGATTTCTCTCTTTTCTATGGATGAAGAAATCTACGAAACAATAGGACATTCTGTCAACATTATAAGCTGTTTCCTAAATGTTTGTACGTTTCACTTTGAATAAATATTTAATGCCCTAATTTACTTTCCCATACATTTGTAGAGAAAGCGCTGGAAATCATCATTCAAAGAAAGAAGTGGTTTTGCCCTGCAGTATTGAGGCACCAGTATTAGCCTGGCTGTACATTGCAAATACCAAATATTTGCATAGCAACTCTTACATTTGTAGTAGTGACTGTTGCATGCAAATAATTACCTAAAGCTACAATCCTATATGCATACCAAGGAGTAAGTCCCATTAGACTCAGTGGGGCTCAGTTTTGGCTATATAGATATATAGAACTGGTGCCTTTTGGTTCCTACCAAATTTTAGAATTTTCAGTGGCTTTTTAAATAGTGGAGCTAGTAAAGGTGGTGCTATGAAGCCCTAGCACACAGTGAATTCTCACCAAGGTAGCAAACATATCAAATGTGTGGTTCACACTATTGTGGTGGGGAAATCCCCTGCAGATGCAGAACTAGATGTCAAGGAGGAGACTAAGATAGAACACTTCTACTTGACATCTAATTTTCTATTGCCATGGCTTTTTTGCCTGGGGGACTATTCAATTTACCATCTTAATGACAAGTAGACCAGTGTCTCTGTTGGCTTACCCTGGATTCCCTTATACATACACATACCCTTGACAGCTAGTGCAGATGTAACTGGCAGGAACCTGTTTTTACATGTAGGCACATTCTTCTCACTATTTTGAATTGGAGGCATAGTAAAGTAAATTCAGACAAGAAGGGATCATTTTAAACAAACTGATTCAAGGACAAACCAAGAGCACAAGAGCACAATAAAGTAATTTGGGTAGCTATAACCTAAGTTATACATTTTAGCCATTAAAACCAGTTTGCCAATTATACTGAATTTTATACTAGCGAGGTCCACTCTGTAATCTTCCTCCTGTGGGCATTCGCTGCTTATTTACAATGACCACAGATGGTATGGGCCATGTAACCAAGCACCTCATCAGAATTTAATTCATTTCCCCATTCTTACATTGTAGATAAAAAGCAGTGCAAGGGGACCATCCATGCTTAAATGAGCTGCACAGAAAAGTGGTTTGGAAAGCAGAGCAGTTTTAAGTTATTCAAAACAGAGGCTTAAATGTAAAGCTAAGGGGTGGAAATGGGTTTTCTTAAGTTTGAAATAGATTAAGTGGCTGCCTGAAGTAACAGGGACAGTGTAGTATAATGTATAATATATAGGAATGGATCAATGAACTAAGGAGATGTATGCTAAATAATTAATTTGGTTCAAAAAAAAAAAAAGGAGGAAGAGTGTAATCTTATAGGTAGTTTTTTTTTATTAGATCGTTTCACCAGTAATATGGATCAGTACGTTTTAGCAGTAAAGTATGAAAATTACACACCTGTAAAAATGGCATCTAACAGCTATGAAATTAAGAAATTCCTTTTGCCATCCTGCAACATATTGTCAAGATAGAAATCCTGTTCCAGAAGAATGAAGGAAATATATGTTTAAAATGGTGAATACTAATTGGGAAATTGTGACCTAAATGCTTTTGGAATAAAATGATCTGGTAGTATATTGTTGATTACTAAATTGTCTGTGGTGGCAATATGATCAAAATATTTTCCCATACTGAAATGCCATTGTGAAAATCTGGGGAATCAGTGAAGTTGTAAAACCAAAGACTGAGGTCAAAGCTCAAGATTTGAGTCGCTCAGTGTTTTGGGAATGTAATTTAGTACGTGACATGGAAAGCAATTCCTAGGCTTCCATGCAGCCGAGCGGAGCAATTCAAACAATGCAGACTAGCTATTCAACCTCTGGATGCTACTGCACTTCAGTGTAGCTAGTGATCACCACACCACTTTGTCAAACAAGAAGAAAAAAAACAACACTCATCCATGTTACTGGAATACAGAAGACCTATAATGATTACCAAAGTTATATGAAAATTAATAAACATTGGAGTATGTTTAGAGTACAGCACTGTTCTTGTAAAACAAAAAGAACCCTTCTGGTCTAGCATTCAAGACTTTAGAGTCAAGGCTCGTAGTAATTAACAAAACTTCATGGCATTTCAACTAAAAAGTAGCATATTTGTTGTCATGGAATGTCACATCAGGGTTCGTTTGCTTGCTTGTTTTTGTATTACAACTTTATAGGCAGTTAACACTGATCATATAGTGCAAACTAGATAAAATTGCGTTTCACTGTGTGAAATAAACAAGAGGTGCAAATGCTCAGTAGGATACCATTAAGACATAAAATGGCAAAAATAAATATCAAAACTTTTATCAGTGTAAAAAAGTAATTGGGTTATTGTATAACCTAGAGTCTGGCAAAAAAGGCCTCAAAAAAGTTTACTCAGTCTTCAGAAATTCCACAAATTAAGTGCCTTTTCAATATTCCAATTAGACAAGAGACTCCATGCTTTCTGCAGGATCTGATTCGTCGTTGGCCATAACAGCACCATTTTTGTCCAGTGCCATGGGGCCATTTCCGTTTTCCTTAGTGCTGACCAGGCTTAGCATTGCTTTGTAAAGAAATTGGTACTGCTCCTGGAATAGAAAGATCAGAACATTTAAAACAACCTAACATTCAAGGAAGTAAAATGTTCAGTTTGCGTTTTCTAGGGGGGATCAGTATTGCTTGCTGTGCCCTAGCCTGACACCTTTAACCTTGTAGCTCTCCCATACTCTGATAACCCACAATATAAACATGGTTACCAACCTTGCATTAGAAAATAATCCCAAAGCCAGGTACAGTACCAATGAAACAAAATTAAGTTATGCGGCCAATTTGTTGAATAATTACAAAGTTGAGAGAACATTCACAAATAACTATTTACAAAGGGCAGTAACACAGATTCAACCAAAAGACTTGCCTCTTCAATCAGTTTTGTTGGTTGTGCGTTACAGCTGGACCCCTGCCCAATTATTGCAATAGATTCACTCTCATCTTTTTTTCAGTCACCTCTCACAAGCTACATCTTCAATAAAGGTTTGTTTACTCGCCTTCTTTTAATATTACGTGCACCTCCTTTCTGCTCTGATCTAGTCTAAAGAATTAGGGCATACAAGTCCTGTGCTTCCTGTGAACCCTACAGGCACAGTGCAGGGACGGAAACATCTCTAATTTAACAGATGTTCATCTGGGACCAAAGCAGAGCACTGCCACTCATTCATCCTAACCCTTATCTGAGCATGCAAGTCTGAACACTGTGTAACGTACTTAATGACTACGTATTAGAAGCGAAAATGTTTTGAAGTAAATAAAGGAGCATGGGGACAGAGGTTGGTGGGGAAGCCGGGAGGGAAAAGAGGGAATAAGGTACTGCATTGTTTTGTTGCAATATTGTTAAAACTGTAATGAACTATAGTCTAAAAACCCCAAACCCTGAAGGAATATAACAAGCTCAAAAGTAGCTGAATGGTAGCGCTGACTCCATGGATATTCTCCATCCTGGAACAAACTCTGTTTGTTGGATCTAAGAAGGAAAGGGAATTCCGACCCTAGATAAATAAAGGTCAGGGTCTAAGATGGTGCTTATTGCTGCACTGTGGTTCTTAGTTGTGCAGGATATCTGGCAGCAAAACTGGTGGAGACTCTATGAGTATATGTGGAAGAGGAGTCTTTTAGCCATCTGACTTCACGGGCACAGGGGCATGGGACAGTATGCCAAACATGTGCATAGATTTTAATTGGACATTTTCCTGTTTAGAAACTACCTTGTAAACAACTTTATCTCCTTTTTAAAGACTTACAATGTCTGTAAATACTCCAGGCCTCATCAGATTGATCATCTTTGCCACCTGGAAAACGTCAACAGCATTTTCATTCTCCAGCTGCTGGGACAGAGTGGTAAGGGCACATAATGTTCCAGCCGCCACTGCTCCATACCTGCAAACCCACAGAACAGTTGCGTTCAGATGCTCATAGGTGAATCATAAAGCCCCCTGTCAAGCAGCAATGAAAATCTGATGTCTGTGTATCAGCTTTAGTTTTCTTTGAATTGCACCTATAATCTCTGCCAGATAGGTGTACCTATACTTGGGATTAGTTTGCTGTTGTATTAATGAATAAAATAAGTGATGATGTGGTCGAGTGCACAGAAGGAAAATTTTCATTTTCAGCTACATTTCCTCAGAATGCAGTTAAAAGTGGAACATATATTATGTATGAAGGCATAAAAATAAAAATCAGTGAATATAACAAATAACCCAAAAAGCAATTTACAAAAGAAATGACTCAGCACTGTTAGAAACAGAGGTTTGATATTTTTTGTCTCATGAAATGCCCAGATCAATAACTGTCTTAATTTTGAATATTGCAAGAGCAGCAAAAGTATTCAGAATCTAGGTGAGCATTAAAAGTAGCAATGACTTAATATTGTTTTGGCTAAAGCATCTGTATTTTATAACGCACTTTAGCAAGTCAAGATATGAAAGAAAAGTCATATATAGAGCCCTTAATTGTTCTTTTCAGACCCATCTGTGCATGATGGTAATACACCACACATCCAGCCACCATTTCCTAAGGAGAGGGACAAAGATAACTAAGTAAGAAAGTATTTAAAAGACAGTTGATTGCTGTGTTGGGCTGGGTAGCTTCCTGACTGAATGTCTCTTCCGCACATTTTGTTCTGATTTGGAGAATGAACCCAAGGTACACGGAGAAAGCACTTGATTTTTCAGCAATTTGCTTAGTAGACCAGGATTTCATGGTCTCCATAACAACCATGGACCTATCTCAATATCTAGTCCTACACATTCTGCAGGACACAATCTTGGTGGTTGCTTGGCAGTAAAGAAGTGTTCTGTGTAAGGGTGCAGGGTTGAAATAACACCACTGGCATGGACAAGTCACTGGCTGAAAAGGTCTTGGGGAGCCTATTATGATGTAGCACTCTTGGTGAATAATCGTTCCTGATGGACACATGAGTGTTCTAGGGGATTCTCCTACCAATATGGCTGTTGAACCTGGCTGACCTCCAGAATAGGAAATGCCATTAGCATTGATACAATCACTGCCGAGCACCCTGTCTCATGGGTAGAACTCAGGCTCATTGGTTTTCTGAAAAACCTAGGGTGATGCAATGACTGGCTGGGTAGCCAGAGTGACAGTGGAAAATACTCAAGATGTATTTATTATATTTTGTGTGTTGTATACTGCCTTGCTCTATTTTTTTATGAAAGTGTGGTCTATAAAAATGTGTTGAAATTCATTCCAAGACCTACTCTATGGTGATGATGGCACCGAAGAAATTATACTTCTTAATCACCAGTGCATTGACATGGGCCAGTCAGTGGAGCTGTTCCAAGTGATGAGGAGATGGTTGCATGCTAGTCCACAAGTTAGCGAGGAGGAACCCTTGGCAGCCTGCTGTGACCACTTTGCAAAACACTTTGCTGATGAATTCACTTGCATGCATTCCAGCTTAAACTCTGCACTGGAAGCAGGAATCTATGGCTTTGTTTGAGGTTACTGCTTGTACTGTTTTGAAGAATAAATTTTAGCTTGTTCAGCCTGAGGCCAACCGCTTGTATTTTGGTCCGTGTCCATTGCGGCCGATTAAGAATGCCAGATGGGAGGCTGGCCAAGTGGGTGGTTGGAACTCTGAATTCTTCCTTGAATGAGAAATTAGTTGTGAGACCTTTATTGAAAAGCTTTCTCCGCAATGGTGGCAGCTCAAACCCAAGCTTTCTTGGACAAGACTCTTATTATTTAGATCCTTTCTGATCTGGGTTGAAGCCCAGCTTGAGGACAGAAATGACTTCGATTGCCTTGGTGCATGAATTAAAAAAAAGGTAAAGGTACCCCTGCCCGTACGGGCCAGTCTTGACAGACTCTAGGGTTGTGCGCCCATCTCACTCAAGAGGCCGGAGGCCAGCGCTGTCCGGAGACACTTCCGTGACAAAGCTGCATCTGGTGAGCCAGCGCAGCACACGGAAACGCCGTTTACCTTCCCGCCAGTAAGCGGTCCCTATTTATCTACTTGCACCCGGGGGTGCTTTCGAACTGCTAGGTTGGCAGGCTCTGGGACCGAGCAGCGGGAGCGCACCCCGCTGCGGGGATTCGAACCGCTGACCTTTCGATCGGCAAGCCCTAGGCGCTGAGGCTTTTACCCACAGCGCCACCCACGTCCCTGGTGCATGAATTACTGGCTTCCAATTCTTTTAAAGGCCCAATCTAAGATCCTGAAATGGCTTGGGACCTGGATATTTAAAGGAAGGTCTATTTCTGCATGAACCTGCTAATCAATCTCCATCAACTTCCAAAGCCCTGCTCTGCAAGGTGAAATTTTTTTGGAAGGGTAGGTCCTTTTCTGAAAAACCTAGGGTGATGCAATGACTGGCTGGGTAGCCAGAGTGACAGTGGAAAATACTCAAGATGTATTTATTATATTTTGTGTGTTGTATACTGCCTTGCTCTATTTTTTTATGAAAGTGTGGTCTATAAAAATGTGTTGAAATTCATTCCAAGACCTACTCTATGGTGATGATGGCACCGAAGAAATTATACTTCTTAATCACCAGTGCATTGACATGGGCCAGTCAGTGGAGCTGTTCCAAGTGATGAGGAGTGGCGCTGTGGGTAAAAGCCTCAGCGCCTAGGGCTTGCCGATCAAAAGGTCGGCAGTTCGAATCCCCGTGGCGGGGTGCGCTCCCGTTGTTCGGTCCCAGCGCCTGCCAACCTAGCAGTTCGAAAGCACCCCTGGGTGCAAGTAGATAAATAGGTACTGCTTTATAGCGGGAAGGTAAACGGCGTTCCGTGTGCAGCTCTGGCTCGCCAGAGCAGCGATGTCACGCTGGCCACGTGACCCGGAAGTGTCTCCGGACAGCGCTGGCCCCCGGCCTCTTGAGTGAGATGGGCGCACAACCCTAGAGTCTGTCAAGACTGGCCCGTACGGGCAGGGGTACCTTTACCTTTACCTTAGGTCCTTTTCACTGGCAGCACCCTAACTGTGAACTAGATTAGACTGGCCCTTTCTCTGCTAGTCTTTATGTGAGTGATTTAGGTATTTTTGTTCTGTCAGGCTTTTAATGTGTCTTAAATTTTACCTAGTTATAGTTTTGCTTCCGTGTGCAATTTTGGCTTTATACTGTATGCTCTTTTTAATTGTGTTACTATTGTTATAAACCATGTTGGAGGCTCTTTTTTAGAGCCAATAGGTGGTACAGACTTGTTTTATAAACAAACAAATAAAATATTTGTGCCCCCCTTTCCACTACTCAGATGAAAGGCCAAATAAGCTTCCATATTTATTGTAATCTTTCTTATCCAATCTATAAAATGAATGATTTGATGGATATACATACTCATCGTGAACAATGGTAGGGCCATCTCTTGTTAAGGCCTCTTCCTTGATTACATTGATAAGCTCAAAGGTACTGCTGATTGGGGCATCTGGGTTTGGCCATTTGGGACACTGAAAATGGCGTACTTCCAAAACATAGTCATCCTGAAACGAAAACCAACCCAACAGTTAATCGTTTTAATTCCACTTTTATGTTTAAAAATGCACTTCTAACATTCAAATAGATTCACTGATCACCTCTAGCTAAAAAGAAGTTAATCCAACCTCAGATTGCTATGAGGAAGCATGTCTTGTCTCCTGCCCATACAAGCAGAAACTCTCTTTCTGCAAGTGGCATGTGGTAACCTTCATTTTTATTTAAGAACAAAAGAAGTCCCTGCTGAATTAGATCAATGGCCCATCTAGCCCAGAGTCCTGTCCTCAGAGTGGCTAACCAGATGCCCATGGGAAGCTTACAACAGCTGCCACACACTGGGCTGACATCTTCATCAAACTATACAATCCAAGGTCTCAGTCCTGGTCACTTGCCACTAGTCAGACCCCATGGGTGTCTATGTGAAAGATGTTTTTTTGCACCAACATGCATCACTTTTTACTTGTTTACACTAAATTGCATTTTCTATTCTACTACCCATTCACTCAGTCTAGAGAGGTCATTTTGGAACTCTTCACAATAGTTTTTTGTTTGTTTTAACAACCCTGAACAATTTAGCACCATCAGCAAACTTGACCACTTCACTGCTCACCCTTAACTCTCAATCATTTATGAACAAGTTAAAAAGCACAGGTCCCAATATTGATCCTTGCGGGACTGCATTTTCTATGTCTCTCAATTTGGAGAACTGACCATTTATTCCTCCTCTCTGCTTTCTGCTACTTAACCTACAAGAGGACCTCTTCTCTTAATTTATGACAACTAAGCTTATGTGGCCATCTTTGGTGAGGAACTTTTGTCTAAAGCTTTTTAAAAGTGCAAGTCTGCTACATCAACCAGATCACATCTATATACTTGTTGACTATCAAATAACTCTAATAGGTTCATGAGTCAGGATTTAACCTGTTAGAAGCCGTACTGACTCTGTTCAGCAATGCTTGTTCTTCTATATGCTTGGTGTAGTTTTTTTATTTGTTAACAGTGCTATGCACCAGTTTTGCCAGGACAGACGTTAAGCTAACTGGCCTGTAATTTCTAGGACACCCCACTCCTGCGATCTCTTTTAAAAAATGGTGGCTACTTTCCAGTTCTCAGGATATGGAGGCTCATCAGAGGTGGAGAAAAGTTACATATGTTTGTTAGCGGTTCATGAGGCAGCATGGGTGGGACATTTTTGCTCTCCTGGCTTCCCAAAAGACTAGGTTGTTGGCATGGAGAGGGGAGAAGTGATTTCTGGGGAATCTGGCCCATTGTGAGTCACAGTGTGCAGGCAATCTGATGCTCCTGCTGCCATGCACTGCACTGGGCCAAACTCCCTGCACTCTTACCCTCTTCCTCTCAGTAAATGCCAGCAACCTGCTGTGTTGGAAAGCTTGGAGAGCAACAGTGCCCCACTTGTGGGGCCTTGGCTGCTCCTGCACTGATCATTTCTCATCCGTCTCCATGGTGCTCGCTACGGACTTGCAGTGCATATGCTCACAAAAGAGTATAAGAATAGAGAAAAGGCATGATGGGGTCAACTAGCTCTCTGGCATGCCCACTTGCATTTAGAAGTTGCAACTTGCTATATAAAGAATAACTGATCTCCTTACGCAGGAGTAACCTACTTGCAGGTGCCATTTGTCCAGAAATTGCACAGAACATTGCAGAGAAGGTAACACCGCATAAAACTGAGTGGGGAACCTGCAGCCCAGTTTCAAAACTCTACCTGCTTTGGTCCCACACACTGCTAGGTGTGGCCACCAACAGATTACACCCAAGGGAATACAGCCCACAACACAAAAACGTCTCCCCACTCTTGCCTTAAGAGGGAATCACTTGCCCCAAGCAAAATCTAGATATTGATACCTAATAACCAACTCCACTTGTGAGGCCCGCAAAAGCTGCTTTCAATAGCAGTGATGCATCCAGAGAAATAGCTAATGAACATGCACCCTTAGTACATTCTTCTTAAAAATGAAAATAAAACAAAACCAAGCCCTTGGTGTGATTCCTGTCTGAGGAACTTCCACCTTTGGATCAGATAAAAGCTGAAATGTTATGCCCTTCTGTGGAAATGGTATACTGAAAACAAAACTGGTATGTGA